TACGCGCTGCACAAGCGTGCGTAGCGGTTGAATTTGAAATCTTTAACTCGCACATGCACAGAGAATATTCCTGCAAGATTTCACTTTTGTATCTTGCTTGTTTCGCAAAATCGTTTCCTGCCAAAGAAATTTGCATATTTTTTTCGGGAGTGAGTCTGCACGCGGGGTCTAGGAGCGTGTAGGGGAAAATCTTACAACGGGGGTGATACACGGGTTGGAATACATATCCAAAATTTTAGCCTCCCAGATTTCCTGGTTGCTGAGATGAAAGTGGGTGACAAAGTCTGTTCGCTTCTGAACACACACATACAAACAACCTCTCGACAATATGCGCTTTTGCTGACTATCGCAACGCTATAGCAGCGTTGAACAGCAAAAACGCATAAAAAGCAAAGGTGACTATTTTCAGTAGGGAGAAAAAACTTCACTTTTCCATCGGCTGAAGCTTTGATTTTTGCTGAAATTGAATTCAAGACATTTTGGGTCCTTTTTGTCCACCTGTGCTCATCTTCGCCGTCGATTGCTGTTTCATCCTCCTCCAGTGTGCGCTAAAAACAAGTCCGTACTACTGTAGTGTTTAGCAGTGGTGATTTACCATGATGTAATTAGTGAAGTACAACAGATGCCAGCAGAGCGGCAATAATTGACCAACGCACGGACTGTCCGTGCGAAGACGCGTTTTTTGCATAGTTTCCCGCTGATACTTGTCGCTAACGTATGTTTTTTCCGACAGATGCTTCTAGCTAAAAGAATTTCAGACTGGCCGTCAGGACTGCAGGAAAAATCCCTTCAAAATTCCAGTCTTCTAGCTTCTCAGGTTCCCGAGCTATCAACTAGCTCGAAAAAAACTTTCACTGGCGCGTACGTGGGCACCGCACATACCCTGGGTCTGGGTTTGAGCTCAGTGAAACTGAGGTGGACGGCGAATATTCCCTTAAAATTAGAGTCTCCTAGATTTTAAAATTCTCGAGTTAGCGATTTGACCGAAAAAAATTTCGACGTGCCAGTACGTAGGTAACACGCATATCCGGAGCCTGGGTTTGAGCTCAATGAGATTTAGGCGTGCAGGGAATATCCTCTAAAAATTATAGTCTTCTAGCTTTTCGAACTTTCGAGTTAGCAACTTGTCGAAAAAAGTTTTGGTGGACCCGTACGTGGGTGCCACGCATGCCCGAGGGCTGAGTTTGAGCTCGATGAGACTTACGCAATGAAACTCACGCATTCCCGTAAAATTTCAGCTTTTTAGCTTTTCTGGTTCGCCAGTTAGCGACTTGCCCGCAAAAAACTTTCATGGGCTCGTACGTGGGTACCACGCGGGCAAGGCCGTCCATTTTGTCGAAGGGGGCCTGTACATGCATGCAGATTAAGTTCCCAAAGTTTCAGCTCTGTAGCTTTTGTAAGTCTCGAGACGAAAAATGGGTACAGAAGCCCAGCGCACACACAGGCACAAACACACACACAGACAACCTCTCGTCAATATGCGTTTTCCGCATTGCATAGCTGTAAAAAACGCACAAAAAAAAGTAGGTAAGATGACTAAAAATGTATATAAGAAGCGTGCAAAGGATGTAAATGTCGGACGAAATTCTTACTTCCGCGCGACTTTTACGCTCCTTTTTCTTTTCTGGGCCGGCAAAAAGATCCTTCTCCTTGTTCGATATTTGAATTTCTTCAGGAACAGCAGGTATTTCCTCCTCTGGAATCGTTTCCAGGTGTGCCAAATTATCAACTGGAGAAACTGCACCCATTCCGGCATCATCAAAATCATCCATTCGATCATCCTAAAAAATTTCGCTACTGAAAATTTTAGAAAAACATATGGTTCCAAACATCTGTTTATCATCTTCTACGAAATATTTGGAAATTAAAAAGAACCATAAGCCAAACTTTGGACAAACCC